TTCCTTCCTTCCTTCCTTCCTTCCTTCCTTCCTTCCTTCCTTCCTTTCTTTCTTTCTTTCTTTCTTTCTTTCTTTCTTTCTTTCTTTCTTTCTTTCTTTAGCTGAGAACCGAACCCAGGGCCTTATGCTTGCTAGGCACGCGCTCTACCACTGAGCTAAATCATCCCCAACCCCATTTTTTTTTTTTTTTAATTTTTCAAGACAGGGTTTCTCTGTGTAGTTTTGGTGCCTTTCCTGGAACTCACTTTGGAGACCAGGCTGGCCTCAAACTCACAGAGATCCGCCTGGTTCTGCCTCCCGAGTGCTGGGATTAAAGGCGTGCGCCGCCGCCGCCGCCGCCGCCACCACCCAGCTAGTAATACATTATTTTAAAATTAAGATACATACATTTTCAGACATAGTGACTCTATACATTCAGTAGGTCAGCATAGTGTAAACAGAACTTTTCATAACCACTGAGAAACTAAGAAACTGCACATGAATTGCTTCGTTGCCATATCTTCTGTTTTCCCTAGTCTGGACCTAGACCCCTAACTAACTCCACAGTATGCTAATATTGGGATTCTTACAAGGTTTTTGTTTTGTTTTTAAAATAAGCTTTCACCTGTGCAGTAGAAAGGCAAGTATTAAAACCATGTATCTGGGGCAGTGGTGTCACACGCCTTTGATCCCAGCACTCGGGAGGCAGAGACAGGAGGATCTCTGTGAGTTCGAGGCCAGCCTGGTCTACAGAGTGAGTTCCAGGAAAGGCGCAAAGCTACACAGAGAAACCCTGTCTCGAAAAACCAAAAACAAACAAACAAACAATAACAACAACAACAACAAATGTATCTGTGCCAACTTCTGCTTTGTAAGGTGATGGCTCTAAAAAGTGACTGCAGGGTGACGCAGCTAAGTAGTCTCAGAGCAAGGACCAAGCTCAGATCCTTGTGTGCCTGTGCCACGACTCCCGTGACATCTTGCTGGGTTTTTTTTTTTTGTTGTTGTTGTTGTTGTTTGTTTGTTTTTTCGAGACAGGGTTTCTCTGTGTAGCTTTGCGCCTTTCCTGGAACTCACTTGGTAGCCCAGGCTGGCCTCAAACTCACAGAGATCCGCCTGGCTCTGCCTCCCGAGTGCTGGGATTAAAGGCGTACGCCACCACCGCCCGGCTACATCTTGCTGTTTTTAACAGTGGGGATTGCACCTTAGTCACAGTCACTAGAAGCCAGTCCCAGCACACCTACACACCTGCCTCACCCCAGTCCTCAGTGGTACCCATGTCAGTCCCCCCCCCCCCAGGATCACACAGCCCCTTTTCAAGAGACCAAGTAGAGAGAGTGTTGGGTGTGAGAGAACTAGGCCTTGGCTTGTGGCTGCATCTGTCAATCATGCCAGCATCCCGTGTCCCTCTTCTTGCATATCGCTACCCAAATCACATGGCTTTCAGGATACTGGGGACAAGTGGGGCAGCCCAAGAAGGTGGCTACTTCCAACTTGAGAGACCTGATGGAGGGAAGGTCCTGTGTAGCCCAGAGGCAAGGGGGACAGGTAAACAGCTAGAGCAGCTGGACACTGAGCTTCCATGCAGAGGCCTGACAGAGGGACAGACCCAAGCTGGCTCCTAGAGCAATCCGATTTCTTTTTTTCCCTTGAGCTGTGCAGAACCTGTCTGTCCTGAAGCAAGTGGGACAGGAGAAGCAGTTGCCTTGGGCCCAGAAGGTTATCACTTCTGGCTTTAATGGTGAGTCCTTACTCTTACCAGCTGTCCAGAGTGACTTCTCAGAGAAGTGATCCTCACACACATACGTGGCTGCGGGCATCTGAAACCAGCTTCCCAGGCTGCTTTGATCCTGACGGTGGGATGGATGAGAGGACTGTGGACAGGAAGGTGGTGGGCTGGGCAGGTGCTCAAGGATGGCTTTAAGCACCAGAACTCTGTGAACCCCAGACCTGGGGGCCTGTGGTCCCACGGAGTTTGTTGATGGCCCAACCTCTATCTCACTGAGCACCCCAGTCAAGAGTGCCTCCTGCCCTCAGAATGCTAGGCTGCCTGTGAGAGCTGTTGTCTTGGTCAGCTGCAAGTCTTGTCTGCTCTGAGATAGACAGAGAAGCCATGGGAAACATTACTCTTAGTCCTGGGTTTCCTACACCAGACTCTGCCCCAGGCCCCAGCCGGTCACTGAAATATCCACCTATTTCATAGCCATGGAGGCCACGCCCTGGAGAGGCTGATGTAAATATTGTCCATGTGGCTTCCCCACAGCTCTGGAGCAGATTCTGCAGAGCACGGCCGGGAAGTACTGTGTGGGAGATGAGGTAAGTGTCCCCAGACCTGCCCACTGTGACCTTCGTGCTGACCTCAGGCTGTCATTCTCCCACTTAGACCCTGTCATCTCCTTATCCTAAGGCAATGCCTGCAGGGGGACCTGGGACCAGCCAGCCTCTTGATGCAAACCTCTGCTCTGGGCAGTTAGTTTGCGGAAACACCTCAGCTCACCCCTACACTGCCTCAAGAGCAGTGCTTCTCAATATGAGGGTAGTGCCCCTTTGCGGGGGGCGTCACACAACCTTTTCACAGTGGTCCCATATCACACATCCTGCATATCAGATATTTACATTATGATTCAGAACAGTAGCACAGTCACAGTGATGATGTAGCAGTGAAATAATGTTACGGTTGGGGGTCACCGCAGCATGAGGAACTGTATTAAAGGGCGCAGCATTGGGAAGGTCGAGATCCGCTGCTCTAGATGTAGTGTGAGGCGTCTAGGCCAGAAGAGCACCCTTCTGAGGCAGTGAAGTGGTCTGGGCAGCAGCTGAAGGGTTAGACTAAATGTCTCCCTCCCTTCGCAACCTGGAGATTGTAGGATTAAGGAGCCCTTGACGCATGCAGACTAAGGCATTGGGCCTGTGGTCGTCTGGTTCCCCAGTTCCTTCTCTGCTGTGAGTCCCCACTAAGTCCCTAGTGGTGGTGGCACCTCAGCAAGCAAATTGGCCACCGCCAGCCAGCCAACGCAGTCAGGGCTTCTCTGGCCACCACAGGGCTGGTTGTCAGGGAAACCAGAGCACGGCATGGGAGAGGTGCTGCAGCTTCGGGGGGGGGGGGGGGGGGGGGGGGGCGGGCAGTTCCAGAGGAGACAGTGAGGGCGTGATAGGGATGGTGGGAAAAGCAGAAGCAGACAGGAAGTTGGGTTGGCAGCCCTGGTACCGTCAGCAGCGGACGCAGCTAGCCTTGCCCGTGAGTCTGGGGTGGTTATCCTTGCGCAAACTCAAACTCCCCTGGCCTTCTTTTAGGTGACCATGGCTGATGTGTGCCTGGCGCCCCAGGTGGCAAACGCTGAAAGGTAAGCGACAGCTCTGTCACCTCCCTTCATGTTCCCCTCCAGCCAGGGCCTCCACATCTACTACTGAGATAACGTCCCATGTCAACCCTTTTTAGCCGCCAAGGACTCACTGCACCAAGGCCACACCAACTGCCCTCCCTGGCTTAGCACAGACATGGCAGAAATCATCAAATCATTAAAATGTCCCTACCGTGCCCACTGTGGCCCGGGTGGTCCTGTATAGACAGCCCTCGCTCCTAAGGGGAGGTGGCTTGTCTAAGGGAATGGCGCCCAAGAGTACCCGCTTGCAATACCCGAATGTGGAGTGTCTGCTTAGACGTGAGCTCTCCCAGTTCCCTCCCCCGGCCTGCTGGCAGCCCTTGTGCCTGCCTGTCATTTGGGATAGGGACGTGCAGGGTGCATCCCCGCCCCTAAGAAGCTAGTAACGTGGGTGATGGGACAGTCTGCACAAATGCCTGACGCTGGAATTCACGAGCAGTCATTGCTTAGAGAAGAGCAGAAGGTGAATGATTGCCAGAGGATGCCAGACCTACCCAGAGCTTCCCAGGGAATGAGGTGCCCCATGTGGCAGGGCTGCTTTCCGGCCATGCACCACAACCCCTGGACCTCGCCCTGCCCTGCCTCTGCTCTGCCCACTGCCCACGGCAGTGTCCCTGACAACCTTGGCTTACAAGTGCTTCTCTACCACAGGTTCAAGGTGGATCTCAGCCCCTACCCTACCATCAGTCACATCAACAAGGCCCTGCTGGCCTTAGAGGCTTTCCAGGTTTCTCACCCCTGTCGACAGCCAGATACACCTGCTGAGCTGAGGGCCTAGCTCCCTAACCATGCCCATCGGTACAGGGAGGGGAATGGGGCCCTGATGCTGGGTAAGCCAAACAGGCTCAGAAGTGAGTGAGTTGTAGAAGAGGACTTGAACTTGACCTCTTCCCTCAGGAAGCAGCAGAAGCTCTTTGAGGCCTCCATCCAGTATTAGAGTTTTCTCTAGAGAATTGAAATTAGTAGACTATATCTCCCCTTCAACTTGACCCTGCCTTAATCCTCTCATCTGTCATATGTTAGGAGTGGGCGTGGGCAGAGACAAGACCAGCTATAATGGCTAATGCTGTCAACTTGAAAAAACGCCTAGAGTCACCTGGGAGAATGTCTGTGGGGGTTAGATTGGTAATGTTGAGGTGGGAAGACTCGCCCATCATGGATGGTAGAGGACCCCCTAGGCGGAGGATCCTGGAGCCTGTGAGAGGAGAGGGAGCTGAGCACTAATGTGTACGCATTCGCCGCTGTCTTCTCCTGACTGTGGATGCAGTATGATCAGCTGCTCCCACCGATGCCTTGACTTCCCCGCCGTTATGGACTGTAACCTGAAACCATGAGCTAAAATAAACCTTTTTCCTTTACGTTGCCTTTGTCAGGGTATTTTTATCACAGCAACAGAGACGAAACCAAGACCCCTGCCATCTGTCATGGGGCAGCCATGAAGATGACACAAAGATGCTGGTTAAAAATGCCTGGCAGGTTTACCAGAGTGCCATAGGGAAGCCTGAACTCCTCTTCATCTCCTCTTATTGAACTTGACTCCAGAAAACATTTACACCGAGTTCAGTCATTCATTGAAGGCAGGCCTCCAACTTGTTTCCGGTAGGACTGAGCTGGGTCCCAGACGATGAACTTCCCCGCCAGCTGGAAACCATGTCTGGACTCAGCAGTTAGTAAGTCCCGTTAGCCGGGCAGGAAGTATAGGCAGGGCCAGCAGACTAGGAGAATGCTGGGAAGAGGAAGGGAGGAGTCAGGAAACACAGAGGAGTCAAGATGACAAGGCAGAACTGAGAAAAGGTACCCAGCCACGTGGCTAAACATAGATAAGAATTATGGACTAATTTAAGAGTAAGAGCTAGTCAGTAATAAGCCTGAGCTAATGACTGAGCAATTAGAATTAATATTAAGTCTCTGATTATTTTATAAGTGGCTGAAGGACCACAGGGCCGGGCGGGACCAGAAGAACCTTACGACTACAGCCTTTTGCTCTTCCTACGGCAAGCTTGGCTTCTGACACTCAAAGGCAAAGGAAGATCGCATGCCAGGGAAGGTGCGTGACCTGTTCCAGCTCAGATTACCTAGGTGACAGCTCCTCACTGGCTACCCTAGGAAGGGCAAGTCCCAGAACTTGGCAAGGTTCAAGACTGAGGTGGTGTGTCTGTGGGGTGGAAAACAAAGTGACCTTTTGTGATCCAAATCTGATATTTAATTTCTCCTGCACTGCTGAGGTTAAGCAGGGAACTGAGGTCTGTGTGTCTTGTTTGGGTAGAAGCATTGTTCTCAACTTTTCTCCAGCTCAATCCCAGGGTGCTTCCTTCCTTTTTGTGGCTCCCTCTGTTGACTCACCTCTTAGCTGCTCCAGGCTCTTGAGCTCTGGGATGGCCACTCTTTCTCCCAAGGCAGCTTTTGTCTCGACAAAGCCAGAGAAGTACAGGAAGGTAGATATGGCAATAAGGGAGATCAGTGGCATGCCTGGCCTGCCCTCCTACCATGTGGAACCTTTTCCTAAATGAGTCTAGATCTGGATGAATGAGATTTACTTCGTCTCTCCATAAGAGACTTACATGGCCAAACACTAATCTGAACCAGAAACCATGGATTGCTCATTCTTGATCAAGCCCTGAGCCTGGCCTGGCCCCTTACATGTATGCTAAATTGGAAGATGTCCTTCCCCTTGGCCCTGTAATTCATCTCTGGGGGCCCTAGAAGATCCTAAAAGAGCAAATATTTCCCCCAGATGTGTACACTTTCTCCAGCAGTCAGACCAGATGGCTACAATGCTTAGTAATAATTATGTTTCGAAAACAGATCTTTTAAAACTACCTACTCTTCCAATTCAAGTCATCAAATTCTTATATTCAGGGGCGAGATGTATCACCCAACCCAAGACTGTCTTTGTGTGTTTGTACCTCTATAACAATATACCGGAGACTGGACAAAGAATAGACATTTGTTTTCTCTCAATTCTGGAGGACAGGAAGTCCAAAATGAAGGTGGTTCTCTGTCAGATGAAGGCTACTGATTCCTGGATAGTGCCATCGATGCAGTATCCCTGTAGTAAAAGGGAGAGAGGAACAAGGAACAAAAAGATCCAAAGTAGTTCCTTCCTGTTTGTTTAATAAAACACTAAGCCCTGTTTACTAAGGCAGAGCCTTAATGCCTAATCATCTCCTAAAGGCCTCACCTCTCAATACTATTGCATTGGGGATTATGTCTCTGTGAATTTTGGAGTTGTCCTAAACATTAAACAACATCAATGACCATCATGTTTGTACGGGGCATTTCTCAATAGGGACTTCCCTCAAAATGCTGAGTGCTCAAAGTCCTTCATTTCCATCTTATTCGTTGGGTTTGTAAAATTCAGTACTTGGTTCTGGTGTGCCTGGGCCACAGAAGGCCCTGATTCAGTTCCTGGGGCCAGAGTGGCCACAGTAGAGGAAGAATATATCTGAGTGGTTCCAACACTGGGTTACATGAGGAAGATGTCCCACGGGAGCAATAAATCTCAGGAAATACTTCAGAAGGAGTAAAGCAGGCAGGAAAACATTGAAGAATAAACCAAACAATAATTCAATCCCTAGTACTAGGCGTGGAGTGTAAAAAAAAAAAAAAAAAAAAAAAGCAGAATTTTCCCCCCAAAAGTTTATGTATCCATTATAGGAAGAGGCAAATATGTTGAGTAAGCAGGTGGATACACGTGTTCATAAGATACTCATTATATTGCAATATAACACCTAGCTCTTGGTTCCGAGGTCAGGCACCGTTCTGATTTGTGAATACTCTTAAGATTACTGTTGAACGCCAAGTGCTGCAATTTGTGAGCTGCCGATGATTTCTTTTTACACTTTTTAAATATTATGTTTTGTCTGCATACATGTCTGTGCGGCATGTGCATGCCTGGTGCCTGAAGAGGTCAGAGGAGGACATGGGGTCCCTTAGAGCAGGAATAACCATGCTGTGCTGGGGACCAAACCCACGTGCTCCGTGAGACAACTAGTGCTCTCGACTACGTGGACATCTCTCAACCCCAAAGATTTTTAAATTTATTTTTATTTTATGTGCATGGGTGTTTTGGTTGCATGTATGTTTGTGTACCATGTGCGCACAATGCCTCTGGAGGCCAGAAAAGAGTGGATCCTCTGGAACTGGAGTTACAGATGGTCGTGAGCTACCATGAGGTCCTAGAAACTGAACCTGGGTCCTCCCTCTACAAGAGCAGCAAGTACTCTTTCGTGATGTCTGAGCCATCTCTCCATCATCCCTTCTGACAGGAATTTACATACAGACATTCATCTTAGTCTCAATTTTTCTTAAATTTTATAATCTTAGTAGATTATAGAAGAATTCACACGAGTTTACTGAATACTTTTCCTCTTAAGCTGAAGAGAAAAGACAAACTTTCAAATGGGTATCAGCCGGGCTTATTAAGATAGAACTCAAATATTTTAGGTGCACAGTGAAAAAGTTTATTTATGACAGATTTCAAAACTTGGAAAAGAAGACAAAAAATGCACAAAAGCATTTCACAAAACTGTCACATACTATAAAAACACCAGAACTCAGCTGTTTAACCATGGCTCAGCATCCATCCGTGTATCACAGCAACACATTCAGTGCCATGAGGTGCAAATATACAGAATGACGAAAGGAGAACAGAAGAACTAAGTAACAACTGGTACAGAGTTCCTAATGTGGAAATCATACATGTTAGTTAACAGCATTTCTCATGACAGGGTGACTTGTAAAACAAGTTGACTCTAACAGCTGATTGGTTTGGATTTGTTTGTATTTCGAAGAAAAAAGACAAGACTGTGATATAGTCTCCCTCCCAGGCCTTTGGTAACCATGGCAGCAGCATATGATACACAGCAGTAAGGAAAGAAAACACAAACACCTTTAAATCACCGATGGACCTCTGGATGATGATGATGGCTCCCAAGTAGCCCTTTGGATGAATAAGCAAATGGCATCGTGGTCAGGAAATCTCCAGGCATCTCTCTGCCTTCCCATTTTGCTTATCCACTCTGCTCTCTAGAATCTATCACTTTGTTACAAAGCATTTACAAGTGATGTTTTATTACAAAGCATCAAACATTTCTTCTGTGAGTTTCAAAACACTTCCCATTATTAAGGGAACCCAGATATACCAAAGTCATGCATCACGGGATTGCTTTTTCCAGACTGGCTTGTTCTTTAACATGGCTACGTGGAAATAAGTCAGACTGATTAAATGAAAGCTAATGCACTTAGGGGACAATTATCTCAGAACCGGACACAAGAAGTATTTTTAACATAAAACGTCTTAATAAAATGTACTACTCAGGATATGAGAGAAGAAATTAAGATAATGTTTTCTAGATGAGTCCTGGCCTGAACCTAAGAATGAGCAATGACAAGAGCAAGGAGACATTACAGACGAGGCATTTCAACCCTGAGTGATGAAGAGTTTAGGAGGACCCCCTTCAACTGACAGTGAATTACGGGCTCTTCAGTAATACTAGACATCACTGCAACTCCAAACTTCAGAATCTTTCATAATCCTGTCAGAACTTTAGAAAATAAACTCTGTTCCCATAAGTCATTTCAAATACACAATTTTACCCCTAGATAAATCAAAAAGCTACCTAATTAAAATGACAGGAAACTGAAATTTCATAAAGCAGCATGTATTTCTAGGTCTCCGGGGCACCATTTTAGTGTATCTTAGAATGAATTGCTGTCTGTGTTCCACCTGCTAAAATCAGATCCTGGATTCAAACCAGGGACCAGCCCTACAATTTCACAGCCAGTGTCCTGTCTATACTTTGTTCGTGAGGAATGACTATTTGTAAGGGAGCCAAATTATCAATATCCTGTCGGGCTTTATATCATTGATGGTCTTTTCTTAGCTTTGAGACTGTGGTTCAAACAGAGGCTCTGGTGAGCCTTCTTGGTCCAAGAAAGCAATACTCCATCTAGAGGGAACAGTGACTGCAATCTGGCCGCACAATACTTACAATGTTTCCCTACATTTTGGATCACAATTCACCTTAGAAAACTGGATGTTCTTTGGGAATGTCTGCGGGTGCTACATGAGTTATACAAAGCAAAAGGCTGTCGCCCACCAGCATCAGATACATACAGACCCAAGAAGTTCTTGCTTCACTGTCCCTGCAAACACCACCAGGAACAGAGTGCTTGCTTGGGTCACTGGAGATCAGACACCCAGCTTACGACTGGGTTTTGATACTCATTTTCTACTCCCCGAAGGAGTGTGATAGGTCCCTGAGCACATGCACACAATGAATACAGTGACTTGCTTGTTACAGAACACAACCCTTAACGACATCCCGCAGAGCAGCAATGACACCAAGTCCCTTCTTCAGATGGACGCTCACCTTTTCAAACAGTGAGACTCTGAAGGGACCCGTGCTGCCCTGTTCCCAGGGTGTAGGTGTCATATGGAAAAAACTAGGGACAGGGGTCAGTGTGGATGCTTAGCATCAGGAGAAACGCCAAAGAGAAGCTCTAATGGAGAAAACTGTGTGTGGTTTGCTCTGTGTGATTAAGGTGGTGCTGCTGTCAGCCTGCAGGAGGCCGGCTTGCTACCCCAGCACTCACATGGCTGTCGGTTTTGTGGTGGTGGACAAAATGCATCTGAATTATGCCTGCAGGGACACATTCACAACACATGCTTCGGCACCACGAGTGGAACTGACTCTTGGCCTTCTCTCATCCTGTTATCTCTCTTAAACCCCAAAGGATGGAGACAGGAAGTCAATCCTCAGGTCATGGTTACATTTAGCAGAGGAGACCTACTCAAAAATGCATCTGGCCGACTCTGCTGCCGGATGGCAAAGTGGGCTGGAGGATTCTCCGCTGAGCACAAGGAGAACCAGTAAGGCTTCTGGCTTACAAAACAGTTCCGGGGAGCAAAGCGCCACCAAAGCACTAAATGAATTCTGGGACATAACTGACAGCGTGTTCGCTCTCCCCTCCTCTGGTCTACCCCATTTTCACCCTTTGCTGTCCATTTAGGAGGCAGTTCTGAAGCGGCACAAAGCTGCCGAATTCGTGCCCCACCCTTATCTACTAAAAAAGTCTTCTACGTAAATAATAGGGTCACTCAATTCCACACCTTAGAACCGCGGACTCGGACGTCAAAGGCAACGTTTTGCAGAGTGCTCCTTAAACATAAATATACAATCATAAACTTTAGGGTTGGGATTTTGCCCAATTCTCTCACAGAAGAAACTGAGTAGGACTCATCAAAATCAAAATGTATATATTATCAAGTCCACAACAATATCTAATTCCATGAATATAAAACAGTTACAGATTAACTTGTCTGTATTCATATAATGGGACAGACAATATACACTTCTTTCAAAGTCCATTTTTCTTAGATACCAAATAAAATATTTTTTAAAGTGCATTGATCCATCCATAAGAAAACTAAGAATAGTCTACTTTCAAGCTGCTACCTATTTCCACGTGGTCCCTGAAGAGTGCATTTGCATGTGAGCGTCCTGAGGATATGTCAAGAGAGCGAGGGATGAGAAGGAAAAGCCTTGGATGCAGCTACAGTCACCTTCACGGCGACATGCAGTTAGGGAGGAAATCCACTGAGGTTACAGTCGGAAGCAAGGGACACACAGCTAGCTTCCCGAAAGACGGAGGCCAACGGCCATCCTTGTGGCAGCCCACATTGCAGGAAAGATCTGCCTGAGCAGAGGCTCTGACAGAGCTGACTCACCGTGAAGGGAACATCCTCTCCCTGGATACTTGTCAGAGGGAACTAAAAGGAACAATCTTTGTTTAAAAACCGGCAGTTTGTAATTTAAAAATATATGTGGGATGTAAGTGTATGCGTTTTTGTTTGCTGAAACTTTTCATAAGACGTTGGAAAAAATAGCCCTTTAGGGCATGTCTTTTTTAAAAGTCCTGCTTCTTAACAAAGTAGCAAAATTAGACACATTGAAGAAATTTAAGAACCGCAGCCACTTTGTGTAAAGACTCTCAATCTGCCTTCTTACCAAATCCTTTCTTTCAACTGCACAGTACTTCCTCCCGCTCTAGAGAGCAGGGCAGGATGAAAGCAGACAAGTTATTTCATTGTTTGCTTGTTGCAAGTTGAACATGAGGGACCAAGGAAGGGACACTACCTGCGAGGTATGTGTGTTCTCTCGTATGTGTGCTCCGTGATTACCTGTGTCTTCTGGAAATAATACTTTGTCTCTCAAGTTCTCTTAATTGTAAAAATTTAGTGTAGAATAGTGAGTCA